GAACTGACGTTGCTTCTGCTTATTTCCAAAGACAGATGGTGACGACTGTCCAAGTGTCAAAAATGAACATCGTTTGTTACCAAGGATAAATATTTTCTCTTAAAAAAAAGTGAAGCTGCCTCTGGGATAAGTGGGTCTTGAACCTGGGCCTTCTAACCAAGAGATAAAGACTCTACCATGGCACCACATGACCCCTTTCAATGTAGCTGTTAGGAGGGGGATTTGAACCCATGCCCCTTTAAAAGGGAGGATGAGTTTACCAGGTTTATAGCCTGGCACCTTAGACCACTTGGCCATCCTCACACAGACCCTGCTGAGTGACAGACTCCTCAGGTAATTGGCGGTGGGTGTGACCTACTAATATCTGTTTTGACTGTAAATTGAAGAACCCCACTCAAAGAGCATTTTTTTTAATACGATGATTATCACAAATGGATTGCTTTTCAGATTACAAATCAGCAAACCACTGAACACAGTTGAAGACAATAAGTTTGAATAACCCGGTAAGCAGGCCCCTACATGTGCAGAATAAAACCCTCCATGCACCAAATATTTTGCAATATTTTTTCTCAGGTTACTATGCATCAGTCAAGCTCTCATGCAGAAGATACGATTAGAAATCTTCACTGAAGTGTGCCTGTACCTGAATAGACAACTTTCCAGTGCCAACTGCTTCAAATTTCAGCTCTCAGCTCTGAGGTTGGCTGTGCTTACACATGCATCTGTGTGAACTCGTCACCAAATGCAGTACAGACCGCTGGAGACGCGCATTTGATCCACCAAAGGTCAAAAGGTCATCAAGACGTTCCGTTCTTCCCAATGTTATAGCTGAAAGACAGGAAAGAGTTAGACAAAAAGATTCAAGTCATGTCTTTCTCCACAAATCTTTCTCAATGCCACCTTCCTTCCCATGTTCTCAGATGTCCTGTTTAACCCGGTTAGACAACGTGGTGAGGTGGTAAGAAGGGGAAATAATGGGAAGAATCACCCCCCCCACCCCCGAGAGAAAACTGAACGCCTTTCTTGCCTCCCCTGCAGTTAAGAAAGTTCAGGAGTCATTTTTGACTCCCTCCATGATTTAGCCTTGAAGTGGTCCATTAATGGCTACCAAACAGCCTCAACTCACCACCTCCCCAGCTATCTGCCTCCACAATGGGCAAAATTGATGGCTAGTTGCCCAATTGGGAAACCATGGTAACCTGCCTGAGTTAGGGGGAGTGGAGGTGGGAATGTCCTTCAGTTGCCCCAATCTGGGGGCTGTCAGAGGCACAGATTGAAGGAGGAGGGGTGTAGCTACCCCACTGGCCTTGCCTCTGACCCTTCTGACCCTGATTCCCTGCAACCCCCATTCCACAGGATAGGACAAAAAGACAATCTATCTGAAAATCTGTGGAATTGGCTGCCCGGTAAATGAGATGGATGCTGGGACATTGATTAAATGTGAGGAGGCGATCGACAGATCTTTAATTAGTTACGGGTTAAAGTGTGATGGAGAGCGGGCAGGAAGGTGGAGTTGAACCTAGATGAGTCATATTAAATGGCGGAGCAAGCTCGAGGGGCTGAATGGCCTTTTCCTGCTCCCAGTTCTTATATTCTTCCATCCTTTACGCACCAATAAAAACTGCATCACAGAGCTTTGATAATTAAGTTTAAAAAGTTGTAATTGGAGGATCGTGATGAATTATATGTGATCATTTACATTGTAGTCACCAAACTAACAAATGCAATTATTCAGGAAACAATTTTTAAACTGTGCAGCCTGGAAAAAAAAACAACACATTGCAGCTAGTGATTTATCATGCTTCAGCTTCTACATTCACAATGTGAGGGAGGTGTTCAATTCAACCTTACTAGAAATAGCTCAATTTGTACATGTTTCAGTGTAATGCATTTGGTTAAGTGCGTGGGGGACACAGGGAGAGGAGTAGCAGATAAGGGGGCAGTCTAACAGCACAGATTCCCAAGACACGATAGGGATCTGAGATCGATTTAAGATTAAACATCAAAAAGTGACCACATGTTTTCAGTAACAGGAGTCAAGCACTGCCTTGCATTTTCTTTAACGACGCTAGCTCAGTCAAAAGTGCACTTGAATCACATCCAAGACTGTCAGCTCCTGATAAGCGAGCAAGGAAAATGAGGAGCATTTGCCAGAGACCCTTCTCACAGCAGCTCTGCCACACATTTATTGAAGTAACTGTGCACATTTCTCCAGATTCAGCCCTGATTTGACAAATCACACTCAGCAGCTGAGCAAAGTGGCAAAGGAAGACATTTTCACCAGCATCTCCTGATCATTGAGTACTGTTAAAGGCATCCGTGTATATGTCCAAAGGTCTCATAGCAGATGAATATTGTCTTTCTGGAGCAGAGAGACTGTTCTGTCACTGCGTGCACTCCTCACCTGTACAAAGTCAGCAGAAAAGGTTTCCCAGACTGATCCCTAGGATGGCAGGACTGATGTATGAAGAAAAACTGGATCAGTTAGGACTATATTCACTGGAGTTTAGAAGAATGAGGGGGTGGATCTCATAGAAACCTATAAAATTCTAACAGGATTAGGCAGGGTAAATGCAGGAAGGATGTTCCCGATGTCTGGGGGTCACAGTCTAAGGATACAGGGTAGGGCCATTTAGGACTGAGATGAGGAGAAATGTCTTCACCCAGAGTGTGGTGAGTCTGTGAAATTCTCTGTCACAGAAGCAGTTGAGGCCAAAACGTTGAATGTTTTCAAGAAAGAGTTAGATACAGTTCTAAGGTCTAAAGGGACCAAAGGGTTTGGGGGAGAATGTGTGCACAGGTGACTGAGTTGGATGATCAGCCATGGTCTTATTGAATGGGGGAGCAGGCTCGAAGGGCCAGATGGCCCACTCCCTCTCCTATTTTCTCTGTTCCTATGAAATCCCCCTGATTTTCTGCATCAGCTCAAACCTGTAGTTTTATCTCGAGCATCGGCCCTTAATTCTGCTCTATCAACACCCAGTGAGCACGGAGGTGAAGAGAGTAGAAAGAGCCTCTACATTGACTGGTCCCATCAGTGAGAGGGCATCTTGTGGTGCAGGGGCATTCCTGTAGGCCAGAAGCTCCCAGTTTGAGTCCCACACCAGGATTTCTTGGGCCTGGAAGGTGTGCGTTTGTATTGTGGCTGAGCAGGTCAATTGTTAGCCCATCCGTCTTTCCGCTGATGGCAGGCGGTAAGGGTCAGAGAGTCTCCTGCTCAGACATCTTGCAGGAGACGATGGCAAACTACTTTGCCCATTGGCATGGACCAATCCAATGGATATCTCTGGGGCAACACTCAGAAATGACCCAATGTTGCAGCCAATGCAGCCACAGTTGACAGTTTTGTGATGGAGAAATTTCAGTGAGGTTCAAGGATCGGTGAAGCTAGGACGGTTCTCCCTTTAGAGAAGATTGGGAAGAAATTCGATATGATTTTCAAAAGCCTGGGAAGTTTAAGCAGGGTAGATAGGGAGCATCTGTACCTAACGGTGGATGCACAGAGATCGGCAAAAGAATCGGAGTCAAACTGAGGGAAAGAAAAACACCTTTGCACCATGCAAAAATAAGAATTGTTCTACTTTCCAATCATAATACAGTTTACCTGGAGAATAAGGTTCACCAAAAAGTAAAGGAAAAACACATTCTAATCGTCAATTGGTCAATTAAAGGGAACCAAAAAGATAAATTCCCTGCCTCCCAAAAGCAACATGAACAGACCAATACCCTGTGGGCTTTCTCATCACAATGCCCTGGCTAATCTGGCAGTGGTCAATGTTATTCCATACAAGGACGCTACCAAACCTATCCAGGTTATGCTATCGACACTGAAATTTTGATTTTGCACGGAAACCATCTACTTCTTT